CGCCTTTTTATTTTGTCGATAGTTTCCTTTGCTATGCAAATGATTTTTAGTTTGATGTAGTCCCATTTGTTTATTTTTGTTGCTCTTGCCTGAGGAGACATCTAGAAAAATGTTGCTAAGGCCAATGTCCAAGAGATTATAGCCTATATTTTCTTCTATGAGTTTTATGGTTTCAGGTCTCACATTTATATCTTTAATTCATTTTGAGTTTATTTTTGTCTATGGGATAAGAAAGTGATTCAGTTTCATGCTTTTGCATGTAGCTATCCAGTGTTCCAAGCACCATGTAATGAAGATACTATTTTCCCCCATTGTATATTCTCCCCTCTTCTCTTGTAGATCGATTGCCCATATAAGGGTGGCTTTATTTCTGGGCTCTCTATTCTGTTCTATTGATCTATGTGTTTGCTTTTGTGCCAGTATCATATTATTTTGATGGCTATAGGTTTATAGTATATTTGAAGTCTAGGAGCAGGATGCCTCCAGTTTTGTGGGATTTTTTCTAAGATTGCTTTGGCTATTTAGGGTCTTTTTTGGTTCCATACAATTTTTAGTACTATTCTTTCAGTGAAAAATGACATTGATGTTTTGATATGGATTACATTAAATTTGCAGATTGTGTTGGGCACTATAAAGATTTGCACAATATTAATTACATCAGTCCATGAGAACATCAACTTATTTGTGTTATCTTCAAATTTTTTTCATCAATGTCTTAAAGTTTTTGGAATACTGATCTTTCAAGTCATTTACATTTATTTCTATGTATCCTATTCTTTTTGGTACAATTGTAAGTGGTATTGCTTTCTTAATTTTGCTGATAGTTTGTTATTTGTGTATAGAAACAAGAGATTTCTGCATACTGATTTTGTATCCTGGAATTTTACTGATTCCATTTATCTAATAGTTTTGAGATGGAGGCTTTAGAGTGTGTATGTTATCTGCAAATATGACATTTTATTTCTTCCTCTCTAATTCAGATGCTTTTCATTTCTTTTTCTTGCCTAATTTCTTCAGCTGGGATGCCTGATACTGTTATTGACTTGTTCATGATCTTAGAAGAGGAACTTTCAACTTTTCATCATTGATTATGATGTTCACTGTGGGTTTATCATATACGGTCTTTATTATATTGAGGTGTGTTCCTTCTGTACTCACTTTACTGGGAGTTTTTATCAGGAACAGATGCTGAATTTTGTCAAATTCCTTTGCAGTCTATATTGAAATGATTCCAAGATTTTATCCTTCATTTTTAACATGGTATATCATGTTAACTGATTTGTGGATATGAACCATCCTTGCTTTGGGCTTTCTTTGTTCTTCTTTTTCTAGTTCTTTCTTTAGATGTAAAGTTAGATTCTTTATTTGAAAGTTTTTTAAATTTCTTGACATAGGCCTGTATTGCCATAAATTTCCTTCTGAGAACTGCTTTTGCTGAATCCCAGAGATTTTGGAGTGCTGTGTTTTCATTTTTATCTGTCTCAAGGTTTTTTTTTTTAATTTCCCTTTTGTTTTCTTTTTTGCCTTAATTATTATTTAGTAGCTTGTCATTTTCCATGTGTTTGTGGGTTTTTTTCCCCCAGTTTTCTTCTTGTACTTGATTTCTAGTTTTACACCTTTGTGGTCAGAAAAGACGCTTGATAGGATTCCAATCTTTTTAAAATTGTTAAGACTGGGTGGCCTAACATATGATACATTTTGAAGAATGTTTCGTGTGCACTTAAGAATATGTATTCTTCTGGTTTGGGATGGTTTCTATGTATCTATTAAGTCCATTTTCTCTAATGTGTTCTCAAGGCCAATATTTCCTTATTGATTTTCATTCTGGATGATCTATCCATTGATGTTAGAGGAATGTAAAGGTCCCCTGTGATTTTTGCATTACTACATGATTTGCATTTTTGGCATTACTGTAAATTTCTCCATTTGTTTCTGTTAACATTTGCTTCATATATTTAGGTTCTCCTATTTTGTGCATATAACCAGTGTTATATCTTCTTCTTGGGTTGATCCCTTTGTTGTTAGGTAATTCCTTTGTTTGTCTCTTATGACAGTGTTTGTTTTAAAGTCTATTGATCTGATGTAAGAATACCCCCAGCTTTCTTTTTGTTTTGATTTGCATGGAATATCTTTATAAATATTTCTTAAATTTTAAAATTAATTTTAAGTTAGCTAAGTGGAAAACAGTTTTAAAAGGAAATTTAATTTCAAATTACAAGAGATGACATAATAATTATTGTAAAAATATACCATAATTGTGATTAACTCATATTATAAGTTATTGCCAAATTTATATGAAACTTTCAACTTTATCAGCAAGTTACACACAATCTTATAAGTTCCATTGTCTCTTGAACAACAGCGGTTTGAGCTGTGCTTGTTTACTCATACAGTTTTTATTTTTAGTAAATACAGTACTGTAAATGTATTTTCTTTTATAGTTTTCTTAACAATATGTTCTTTTCTCTAGCTTTCTTTATTATAAAAATGTAGTATAAAATACAAATAACATACAATCATGTGTGCTAACTGGCTTATGGTTATTGGTAAGGTTTCCCATTTATAGTAGGCTATTAGTAGTTAAGTATTGGGGAGTCCAAAGTTATATGCAGATTTCTAGCTGCCTAGGTGGTGGGTGGGCACTCCTAAGACCTTCATTGTTCAAGTCTCAAATATTTTATTATGGGTTTGGAGAGTTTGGAGGCTCTAATCTGGTTATAAACTTGATCTTGAAAGAGACAAAAATAAGGCACATTAGGTTCTGGTCACATTATTCCAGTAGTCTTCAGCCCCATTGTATATTAGGACATGGGAACAATACTAATTAGCTGGGAAAATGGATGCATACAGAATGACTTCAACTTTGTAAAACTATGTGCATATGGATAGACATAAGCAATAATTGTTTTGTCTACTTTATGGATGGTAGCATAATTAGTACTTCATAAGTTAAATAATAGATATTTTAAAACATTCTCTATGTAGATGAAGAAGGAAAAATATAGATATATAAATAACAAAAATATGTGATATATTTATTTGGGGGGAAAGTCAGTCTATAGATAGATATTAGAAGGTAGATAGATGATAGGGAAAAATATATGATAATTCACTACTAGACATTGTTGCCTCAACAAATCAGGCAACTATACTACTGGTAAACATTTTGCTCTGAGATATTTGAAAAGACACAAAGAAAACCAATTAAAATTTCATTTGGCCATATGAAAATACAGTAAGTATAATAAGAATATGATAATTGATATCTTAGTCAAAAAGTCAAGCAAAATGCTTAATTTTTGTTGAGCAAAATATAGTTGTTACTTTTTAAATTAATTTATTAGAAAGAATCTATAACAAAAGTAGGATGTGGCTAAAAGAAAATCTTTAGTAATTTTTCTGTAGTAATCCAGTGTTAACTGTAATATTTTAAAATAGCTTCAATAACTGAAAATACATGAATGAACCACCAAAAAAGTATATCTGTATTTATATGAAGCACAATAGAATACAGACTCAAAGGCTAAAAAGAATACACTGAGGAATGTTATTGAAAATTTTAGTTTTTGGCAAGTCTAATCATATTTAAGAAATGAAATTTTTCAGTACTATTATCTTCTCTTAAACTGAAACTGGCTAAGCATTGATAATTCCAGGCCAAGTACCATGTTTCTGGCATTAGTAGGCTTCCATTTGGAAAACAGTGTCATAGGGTTCATGTAGACAGATGGATAAATGAACAAAAGCAAAATAACATCCTAAGTTTTCTCCTTCTTATTTGGTCTTCTGCCAGATGGGACTGTGTTTCTGTAGAAAACTGAAAAAATATATATTCTGGCACAAATTTAACTCTTCCGTTGTCACTTTTCTCTCTGAATTTATCTTCACTGGCATATTTCCACTTCATAGAATGGTTATATTAGAAACTTCTTTGAAGAAAACATTTAACCAAGTTATCTCCTTGAAATTGTATAATTCACTCCTGGAATACAGTTACCTCTGTATTTAGCTACTACTTTATTTGTTTGTATGGGCGAATTTGTGTCACTTCAAATTCCTATGTTGAAGTCCGGAAGCACAGACTTCCTCAGAAGTACCTCAGAATGTGACAGTATTTGGAGATCTAGTCCTTAAAGGGGGAATTAAATTAAAATGAGTTCATTAGGGCAAGCCCTAATCCAATCTGAATGGTGTCCTCATAAGAGAGAAGATTAGGACACAGACATGTACAGAGGAAAGACCTTGTGAAGACACAAACCATCCGCAAGCCAAGAAGAGAGGTCTCACTTTATAAGGGGAGTCTTAGAAAACTAACATACTTATCATGAAGAAAGTCTGGTAAATTAGGCTTTAGGGGCTGCTGTTTTCAAAAGAATTGGTCCAATTATCTTTGTATATTCCTAAATAATAAAGTTTAAGTAATTGGGCCAACATTATACAAATACATTTAGTTAGTTGTATAAACAGGCTAAGGTCTCTCTCTGAGGAAAGACTTATTACTCAGTTGAAAGTTTCATGATCATCTATTCAGTGAATTAAAAATGCAGTACCTGACATCCTGTGTTGTCAGAAAAACTGTCTGATTCCTGTATCTGACACAAAGCAAACTTGTCCTCTTTTGTAAAACAGTAACAATGATACGTACCTCATGGGATTATTGTGAGAATAAAACAAGGTATTTGTGAAACACCTAGGTTATGACAGTATAATCAATAATCAATGTACTGTGCTGAGTTGAAAAAGACGCTTTCCTACTTACTAAGCATACTCAACCAAAACATGAAAGATATCAAGAGGGGAATATTGTGATCAAAGTCTCTTATGTATGAAATTCACCATACAACAGCCTAGTGGATAGACTAGAGGAGGTTGATAGCAGAACATGAATGCATGACAAAGATTGTCCTTCTAATAAATGCCCTTATAAAGAGAAGAAATACTATTGTGTCCAGGGAGAAATCAAGAGATCCGACTTCTTAGATTGAGAGTTATGTCAGAGTACCTGGGTGGCTCAGTTGGTTGGGCGTCTGACTTTGACTCAGATCATGATCTTGTGATTCGTGGGTTCAAGCCCCACTTTAGGCTCTGTGCTGACAGCTCAGAACCTGGAGTCTGCTCTGATTCTCTCTCTCTCTCTCTCTCTCTCTCTCTCTTTCTCTCTCTGACCTTCCCCCCCCTCTCAGAAATAAATAAACATTTAAAAATGTTTAAGGAAAGAGATGAGATGAGTATTATTAAGACTTAAGACCTATAGATCAGGTAGTTAGAGGCTAGATTATGGGGGCAGAAATAGAAGGATTTAGAAATAATGTGGGAGAAGATATGAAGGTTCTTGAGGAAAAGAATAACATGCCCAAGGTAGTGTTTAAAAAAGATTTGTCTGACAATTTGAGCTATGCATTTCCTTGATATTCTAGCTTTATGCTTGTAAATCAAGGAAAATGAAATATGACTTAAGGAGAAATTGGGAAGATTAATTACAGACATTAATGTTTGTAAAGAGCTTAAATAAATGCTGAATTCAAAGTCTTATTTCATCTAGTTTCAGAGCATCTGCTTTCTTCCACTAGCAGATTTCTATTCATAGTTTCTGAAGTTACTTTAAATTGCAATATAATAAAAAATATTTTCTGAAAGTATGTTGAGAAATCATGGCACCTGTGCAGAAAGATTGGTAGAGTTAGGCCATCTCAGCAGTACAAGAAAGGACAAATCCCTATGATGCACAGTCAGTGAGAAGAGTTTCTATGAGAACAAACAGCTTTTGAATTTTTTTCTAACTGGTGTTTTACCTCTTACATTTTCATTCTCAGATTCCTGAGTAAAAGCTCAGGTTACCACATATGAATTAAACACTAAATGTAAGGGTAATCCAAAATTGATTAAGAAATCAAAATTGTTTTTTAAATATATCCTGTAAATTTGACTATAATTAAAGTTACACATTGTTTTAGACTGACCAAATCATTTTTACATAGGAACTTAGATATGTGCAATATAGATGTAATCCCCATGAAAAATTCTTCATATGCAAAATATATAAGCCCTTAGAAAATCACTACTTCTTACTCCCTAGATCATTTTACTGTCATGTATGTACCAAGTAAATGTCCTCTGTGAGTGTAGTTACTGAAATCCTTGTTCTACTACTTAATCACTGTTACAATAATACCACCAATAATGCAATTCCTTTGTTCATTTTTTTCAATGAGTGTCTATTACATTTATGACAAAAAGCATTAAAATTTAATTCAGTACTGTTATCCTTACCCTTATCAAGCCATTTTTCTTGACTATGCCACCTTCTTTTCGATTTTGGACACTTCCAGCTAAATAATTCCCATGTATTTACACTCTTAACTCTTGCCTTATCATTATTAACATGTCAACATGTCTTTTTTTTAAAAAAAGCCATTCTTCACATTCTATCCCTACTCCTACTATTGTAATCAAAGCCCGAAATTTGGCATAACTGTACCAAGTGGCTTACTAAGAGAGCTGTCAAGTTTGCTTTCTTTCTCTTACCTCTCATCCTATTCAGTCTGTATCATTGTTTGTTGCTGTTTGTTTGTTTGTTTTTTGTTAAATGTAAAGAACACTGACATGGTGGAATGAAGTTTTAGTTCCAAATTTCAGCTTTGTTTTTTGTTTTTTAAAACATTTTTAATGGTTATTTATTTTTGAGAGAGAGACAGAATGGGCAGAGGAAGGGCAGAAAGAGAGGGAGACACAGAACCTGAAGGAGGCTCTAGGCTCTGAGCTGTTAGCCCAGAGCCTGATGCGGGGCTTGAACTCAACGCACTGCGAGATCATGACCTGAACTGAGGTCAGATGCCCAACTGGCTGAGCCACCCAGGCACCCCCCAAGTTTCAGCTTTGTAACTTACTAATTGTGTGACCTTGTTAAATATCACTTAAAAACACTAGGTTCCATTGTCATCAGCTTTAAAAGATGCAGATAGTACCAGGATATTGTTATCTTCCTGCCAAACTTTTTTGAAGCCGATCTTTTTAAATATCTAGACTGGATTTATTGTGTTAATTATTGCCTTGGTTTCTCTTTGTCCACTATCCCATTTTTGTGTGCTTTGCTCTTAGAAGCAGGTTAACTTACAATAGGAGCTTCCTTCTCATAAATGTTTCCTCTAGTTACATAATTGAAAATATATGCACTTATGTACATAACTTTTAACTAAAGTTTCAAAATAATGCTTGCTTTTCCCTCAGTCTTCTACAATGCAGACCATTCTCTTATTTTTAAATGCAAGTATTTCTTTCCCTTAAACCTCCTGTCAGAATTCAACACATAACCAAAACTAGTACATTCCCATTTCAAAACTACTGAGATGAAGAAGGGAACCATCTTGTTGGCTGTACTGAACTTGACTCATTACACTGGGCTGAGGAGGGGCACAATTTCCCCCAAAGCCCAAGACTACTTAGTACCTAAAAGTAAAGTAACTTAAATTGTGTTTCTAGGCAATATACGCTGTGTGTACTAGCATGTTTCCAAACTCTTTATCAAAAATCATGAGAGCTAGGAGGGAAGGTATAGAATATATCTAGAGCACCTGGGTAGCTCAGTTGGTTAAGTGTCTAACTTCGGTTTCTGCTCAGGTCATGATCTCACGGTTCCTGAGTTCTAGTACCACATCGGGCTCTGCACTGACAGTGTGGAGCCTGCTTGGAATTCACTGTCTGCCCCTCCCTTGCTTTCTCTCTAAATAAATAAATGAACAAACAAACATTAAAATTTTAGAATGTATCTACACAATTACTTACTGGAAAGAGAGTTGGGCTGGATATAGAATTCAGGGATTACGTTTCTGACAGTGTTTCTAATGCCTGTCTGCAAAATCATTGCATCTTATAGGTATCCATTTCCTTATGTATTAATTAAGGTAAATTAAGTAAATATGTAAAGGAGATTTATTAAATCACAGGTTTCTAATTTGGATGTTTGTACAGTAAGACTACTTATTAATATAGAAAATATCATGGGAAAATTTTAGGAGATAACTAATACATGAATAACTATTGCATGTGAAGAATCCAGCCAAAGTAGAAAGTCAATAGGAAGTTGAATATGGATTGCCTTATGGCCCAGCACAGGTCTATTAGAAAAGGAAATATTTTGGAAATTATTTACCAAAAAGGGTGTAATAATTGAAGTCAGTGGACAAGAATGAGTTATTATTCAAGAGAGACTGAATACAAAATTAACACCAACATGAGACATGACAAAGTTAATGAAGACTTTAGAGACTACTAGATGCTTATGTATATTTTTTTAAGTCAAAGTAGTTTTCAGTTAACTACTTTGGCACTTTTAACTGTTTAATTTTTTGTTTGTTTGGTGATCTCTTTCCTGACAAGTGTATACAACTAATATTTTGAGAATTTTTTTTCTTTAATGAATGTCAGAATTATGTTTTTAAATAATTATTTACATGTCAGCAATTTTGCCTAACACATTTATTAATGTAAATAATTATTTCCTTGTAACTCACATTTTGCTCCCTTTTGATTTTTTATTCTAGCATTCTTTGTTTTGATCTCTGGTTTGCAAAATGTAGCAAAGTCATGATGCAGTTGGACAATTCATCACCACTGAGATAAGTTTCCTGTGAAATGTGTAGAAATTGGGGAAAATCAAGATAAACCAACTAGTTTTGTGGGGTTTTTTTAAGTGTTTATTTTTGAGAGAGGGAGAATGAGAATCAGAAGCAGGCTCCAGGCTCTGAGCTGTCAGCAGAGCCCAATGCAGGGCTCTAACCCACCGACTGTGAGATCATGACCTGAGCCAAAGTTGGACGCATAACTGACTGAGCCATCCAAGAGCCCCACAAATCAACTAGTTTGTAGTACTTATTCATAATTATATAATTTAATCTGTAATACCTTCATGACTGTAAGAAAATTCCAGAAAAGTCCACTACTAAATTTTGTGGCAAGTAAAAAAAGAGTTAAGATTAATAGCTTTATATTTTAATTTTGAGCTCTCTTGTCATTACTCCTTTATAAATTTGAACTTACAATATTTTGTTAAATAAACAAAAACATTTTATTCTTGTTAGTGACTCTTAAAAAACTCCATATCCATGTAGAAATGCAGTGGGAAGTGGAATTTTATTTCCACCCATCCATCCCTTTAACCATTTATTTGAAAATATTATTACAACTTTTTATATGTACTAGGGAGATAGACATGTTTACAGCATTTTTTTCTTTCTTTAAGAACTTTCCAACAGACTACTTAATATATCATTTATACAATAAATGCTTGCAGGGTAGAATATAAATAAAAGTGATAATTAAGAATAAATCCACTTATACCAAGAGCTATCATGTAATATCTTAAGTTCTATAATATGTGAATAAATTGCTATGAATATGCTATGTAGATATAAGAAGGCTTGTCAGGAAAATGTGACCACTGAAAGATGAAAAGTAGTTCATGTAAGTTATAATACGGTATTTAAAGATGTGAATAAGAGTAAATATGAATTAATAATAGAATATAGTTAAAATTGTATCCAAAATGACTTATATATAATAGGCTTTATCATATCCATTTTGTGGTTTTTAAATGTGTGCCTGCTTTAATTTCACTAGTCCTGCATTTCAAGGCAGATCATAATGAAGTCAAGATATCCATTTGGAAAGAGAAGTGCAACCAATAACATAGATTTCCTATATACAGTAAAGGTCTAATACATGTTTCTGACAATACGACGCACTTCACAAAGCAGAGAAGTGTAGCATAAATAGCATTTATTAATCAAAGGAAATAAGTACCTTGAAAATTTTACTACAGGAAAGAAAAACTCCTACTCACCTTATAAATATACAAATTAACCTCCGTTATTATAGATACTTAAGTACTCATGTGGAAGCTTTCCCTTTCTTTTAAAAATCTGTGTTGTTGGGGCGCCTGGGTGGCTTAGTCGGTTAAGCATCCGACTTTCGCTTAGGTCATGATCTCGCGGTTCGTGGGTTCAAGCCCCGCGTCGGGCTCTGTGCTGACTGCCAGCTCAGAGCCTGGAGCCTGTTTCAGTCTGTGACTCCCTCTCTCTCTGACCCTC